CCAAGGTGTCCTGGTTTTCCCAAATGAAAATATGGTCACCCTAGCTAAAACCCTCGCAATCTACATAACTTGTTCACCATTGCTCCATTCAGTCTTGGAAGAGAAGCGAAATAACCTTTGATTGGCCTCGAGCCGACGTTCATGTGTATCAGTGGCAAAGCACTGGAAATGAAACCATTCAGGTGCACTCAGGACTATTGAATATGAGATACCAGAAAAGTAACAGAAATAAAAGCAGAAGAACAAGGAGGAAAAATATCATTTATGTATTTATATGTATGCATCTGTGCATGTGTGTACACTGAAAACATAGAAAAATGATCAAGATAGGGGGAAAAAAACGGCAGATTATTTACAGAAATGAAATAAACTGTTCAAGTGGCATAATAATGAAACCACTTATAGAGCAGGTGAGAACTGTGCAAATAGGTATAAACTGTTCAAATAAATGCACAAAAGAACTGGAGGAGCTAATAAATGTTGCAAATAAAGGAGCACTTAAGAGCAGTGAGAATTATAAAGTTTAACAGCATGTGGGAGGAAGGATATGCGATAGTGCTCCTTTGTGCAAATAAGGTGGAGGAGTCCATAACTCATGATATTTGAGTTATTGTGCTTCTGTCTCCAGCCACTTGCACTTAGTCATGTTGGCATCTTAGGAAAGAACTAGTGTTCCTAATAAACTTTTTCTCACATTTATGAAAATATGGTTCTGCTCACAGCAGTCTACACAGTTCAGTATTGTCTGTCTATACTCTTAAGTTGTCCACACTGTTAGGATAATTATTAATGATGATGTGTGAGTTTATTAAACCTTACTATTAGCTGCCTGTTGCAGGTTAGAACTGATGTTTTCCAGAATAGTTTATCTAATTAAGACAGTTTCTCTGTTTGGGTATACAGTTATAATCTTTTGATAAGGCTGGAGCCATGGATGTCTTCTCATCTGCTAACTTGTATGATGTAAAATGTGTTGATGTGGCAGACTGGAGATGTATAAAATGCCTCTTTAACTGTTAAGGCCACTTCCTGAGAAGTGAGTCTGGGTGTAAGCAGCTGCCTTCTGTAACTCTAAGCAGCTTCTCTGATCTGAGTAAGATTACAATTTCTATCAAAATCTGTTTTCTCATGTCTCATGGTTATTCAATACAAGTTATGAATTGTTATTTAAAGAGTTTGTCCCCAGTGAGCTCTTACTCTTCACCCTGATGCATTGCGCCATTCTTCCTCATTCTCGGCCTTGGCCATGTTCTTCATCACGTCCTTCTCCCCTTTAATCACTTCTATCTCGTCTATCCACGTTGTGCGTCGTCGGCCTCATCCTTGTTTGCCGTGCATTTGAGCCACGGTCATTTTCAAGTCCAGGCCAGATGAGGTCCGGCTGATTTTACCGAAGTACAGGAACTTTCTTTTGATGATCTTGTCCGATAGTGAGCTCTTTTCAGGTAAAAGAACCAGAGAGAAAAAGCTCCAAGGTGTAAAACAGAGAGCCTATCTTTAAAAAATGGCGTTCCCACCCCTTGAGGCGATGAGGCTGACTATGGCAGAAGTGTCTTAGAACTACTGTTTTTTTCAACTCCTGTTAAATTTGAAGTAATAAAGGACAAACTTTTGGAGCATGCTTTAAATGTCTCCATTTCTTGACTAAGTGAGTTTTTTGTTCACTAATGCATTTTCAATAACAAGTGATTCTTTATAACAGTTTAGTATCAAGAGAAACACAGACTAGGGTTTTTGCTGTTGGAATCTGCTGAACTGACTGCAAGGGAATAAAAATCTGTTACGTTAATGGAAAATTTGGTTGTTATGCATCATTGTATTATGAGTTTCTGAAAGAGACATATGTATTTTTTAAACAAATGTATGTTTATTAGTTCAGGACGTTTCTAAGAAAACAAAGAAAACATTTTTACAGATAAAGCAACAATTAGCTCAGAGATACTGGTTAAATCCTAAGATGTTGTTTGATGTAAATGGCGTCGATCAGTGATCAACTTTTATGACATTTGTTCTTGCAGATATTAGTGATCAGAATGAGTGCCAGGTCAATAACGGCGGCTGCTCACATCACTGTTTGGACCAGCCTATTGGTTACCTCTGCCGTTGCCCTGACAACATGAAGCTAGTTGATGACAGCCGATGTGAAGGTAAGCAATGACCTCTTTTCGCTTTGCCCTATAATAAGTGACAGATTATGACTAATATAGCTTCAGCATGTATTAATATTGGTGTTTGATCACACACAGTTCATCCAGCAACCGTCTTTGTGTTTACTCGGCCGTCACTAATAGGCATTCATGTAGTAAAATATGTTTGCTTGGTATCGTAGAAGTCGATGTGTGCCTGGAAGGCGACGTGTGTGATCAGCTGTGCGTTCATAAAAACAGCAGCTTCACCTGTGAATGTGAGGAAGGCTACCACACCGACCCACTGACCGGAGAGTGCAAGGCCAACGGTAAGACCTCAATCCTTTCAATAACAAGCTGCTGATGCTGGTAATCTACACCTGTCTTTCATCATGCCCCCCTGTTAGCGCTCTATGATGACCCATTGTTGCACTTACACAATCTCATACGATACATTTTTTTAAAGTCTTTTATTTAAATACTGATTTTGATTGTTATAGTTTCCCTTTTTTTGGGACATTTTCCAGAAAATATGGTGACTGGTTGAGTAAAACCATTTATTCATAATGGCATAAGCAACGACCCAAATGTTCCACTGTACTGCCAATTCATGTCATCAGTTGCAGGTGAAAGTCTGGGTATCTGGATGAATTGATAAAAGTGTTCTATTTATATATATATGTGTATGTGTGTGTGTGTATACATACATATATATATATAAAATTAGTCATAGTTTCCTTCGCAGGGTGGCTGTGCGCACCCTTTCAGATCGGGTGAGGAACTCAGTTACCCGGGAGTCGTTGCTCTTCCATGTCGAAAGGAGCCAGCTGAGGTGGCTCGGGCATCTGTTTCGGATGCCTCCTGGTCGCCTCCCTGGGGAGGTGTTCCGGGCATGTCCCATTGGGAGGAGGCCCAGGACACGCTGGAGGGACTATGTCTCTGAGCTGGCCTGGTGTTGCATCGCTGTCGCCCAGAGCAGCTGGAGGAAGTGTGTGTGGATGGGGAAGTCTGGGTATCTTTGCTTAGACTATGCGGAATAAAATGGATGGATATATTATTTGTAAATCCGTGGGGTGTTTTTAATAAGCTGCACTTGTAAGGTCTTTTTAAAAGGATTTAGGAATACTGAGGTCAGGATGCTCTCATGGCTGCCCCTGAACCCCCTTTTTTTTTTTTTTCTAGTGATAATAAGAACATCTAAAATCATCACATTTTTAGATGCTAGGCTTATCATTGCAAAAAACATGAACTTGGTGCCTCACATTATTGTTAGTTTTTAGCACACATTCCGCATAATGTCAGATTCTCTCTTCATGGTTCACAGCATGATGACCAGGTGCAGATTCTCAGTCTGTACTGAAGCCTCCTTTGTACTTTACTAGAAGGCAACATGACTTCTTCTGTGGTTTCTTGAAGCTTTACTCACCATCTGAAAGGCTCCTGCAGTTCTTAACATTGTTGGAAGTCATGTTTTTTTAATCTGTAATTGGTGGAATCATATTAATGGGACCAATAAGTTCACAAGTGAACGAGGCCAATGTTTTAGTCGTGTTGCAAACAGCCTGCTGATTATTTGATTTGTGTGGTTTGATGTATACTGCCTGGGGAGACCAGTCGACGCTGCGCTGTAGGTGTTAGGATCTGTGGCATCTCTAAGCACTTTGCACAGTATATATAAGAGTGGTATATATTCATCAAAGCCATTGTTACTCTTATATTGTAACGACAGTGGCATCTGGTGCAGGAGTTTGCAGGTTTGAGCCCCAGCTCCGGCTTTCAGTGTTGTTGTGTCTTTGGGCAATCAGTATACGTGTATACCATCAGTACCCGAATCACCTACTGATGGTGGTCAGAGGGACCTGGTGGCGCCAGTGTACAACAGCTCCGCTTCTGTCAGGACAGCTGTGGCTACAATGTGGTTTGTCACCATCAGTGTGTGAGTGTATGCGTGAATGACTGAATGTAGAGTAAAGTACAGAACATTTAAGATTAGTAGCAGTGATACTGGTGGTCACAAAGTTTGTTTTGGTCTCATTACTTTAACCCAGAGGTTTTGTATTTAGTGTTTATGCTGTAAAGAAATGGCTCCTTTTTGATGCCAAGCACATTTAGGCTATTTCTTTTATTTACACATATTCTTATTGTTCTTTTTTTATGTTTTCTTCATTTTCAAAACTTTTTCTTTTTCTGGCAGATGAAGCTGGAACCTCAGTTAGTCTATCCAACTTGTCAAATTCAGCAACACTAAAAATAAACTCGCCTTGTGGAAGAGTAATGTTTATCTAAGTCTAAATCTTCTGTCTCACACCATTAACAATGGGTTTAGAGGGCATCCCACCGAGTTTTCCTTCCTGATTAACATTCCCAGTTATTTTCCGTCTGCTGTCTGGCAGCATATTTAAAAGATACAACCGGAGTCCAAAAGGTGTTCATCAGTTGCCCCCTGCAACCCGATCAACCTCAGTTTCTTTAGCCGACAAACGTCTGAAAACTGAATATTTTTATGTCCAGTTTAATGTTGAAATGATTAACCAGGAAATGTGTAAACTAGTCTGATACTGTTATCGTAAGTTCTAATAATCCAATAATGAATAGGCAAAGCGGTCTTCACAGGAAAAGTCTGGTTCCTAAATGTCAGGAAATCTGGAACGCTTGCTATGCTGTGGGGCTGAGGGTGTGAGAAATGGTTTCCTAGGTGGAGCCCTAGAATGAGCAAATGGATGCATACATAAAAATCCTCCCTGACACTGGTTGTAGCCCTCATTCAGCCCTGAATAGTCATGCTGCATGTTTATCAAAACATGTTTGACAAACACCCCAAGACTGTAAATCATGCAACAGTTCTAGAACGCAACAACTTGGGTTACAACATCCAGTGAAAGGAATGAAGTCGTGGCCACAAACGTTTCCAACACTCACAGTTATTAAAAAAGAAAAAACTAATGGATCAGATACAGTTCTGCTTTCTTACACTTTGGGGCTTTTATTATTTAATCTTTTTGTTTTTAAGCAATCATTTGATGCAAGAGTTTAAATTTGTTAGATTATTATCTAATTAGTCAAAGGTCAAAATAATAATATTAAAGTTCTGTTGCCAGCTTTAGAGAAGCCAAACACTCTTTGTATCCATTTATGAGCTTCTAATAATGAATGTTGAACCACTCCTTGTTATGATAGTTACATTTGCTGTATGGGGCTGTTTTATGGCCTGGATCCTGATTTAAGGGTTTCTCTATTACGGTTGTCATGATACTAAACTTTTCAACTCGATACCGATACTAAGGAAAATATTCGATACTCGATACCATTTTGGATACCAAAAGGATAAAAACAAAGACTCCAAAATTCTACAGAAATATTTTCATTAATAAA